AATGAATGAATGGAAATCCAAAACCTCTGTAAATATCTATTAAAATTAATAATAATTAAAAAAAGATGGATCTTCACTTACTACTTCTTCCTCCACTCAAAAGAGCTCTAGACACAAACTCAATTTCCTCTATCCCCTGCTTTTAAGGTAGTTGAGGTACCCAGGAAGGGATAACTCAGTACCTCCTAGAATATATCAAAAGGTTGTTAAATCTCAGGCTGAATAATTTTCACAAAATTTTGGAGTCCAGGATTTGGCATTTCAGAACCATTGTTACCACTTTCCCCTCAACAGCAGAAAATATCCCATGAATGCAGTATGCCTCACTGGCAGACCCAAAGGAAGTAGGAAAGACAGATTCTTACCAACGTACTGGCTTGTCAAGCCTCAGTAGCTGGCCACGTTGACAAAGAGGATGTATTTGCCGGCGTACTGCTTGAAGGGGATGTACTCCTCCCCATCGATGGTGAGGGCTCCATACTCGTATATGGTGCTGCTTATGCCACCATGGCAGTCCGTCTGGAACAGATTGGTGCCAGAGTATACTTAGAACTGGAAGGAATTCAGTTATCTCCATTTCCAATGACCAAAGACCCCAACAGGAGACCGGGTCACCCAAGACTGCATTGAGCATCTGGAACCCAGGCCGGACTAATTATACTACCTGCACTAGGACCCAGGGCTCCTAACTCCTTGGACATGATAATGATTATAAAAACACCTAATAGCTTGATGAGTGCTATGGAGACTGCAGTGATTACTCCCACATCACACTGTCACTTTACAAACATTTACCAGGTGCTTGAGCTGTTGGATGGGCTGGACACATAGAGACTGAGTGGCAACCTCCAAACAAGGGGGCAGCCTGATCTACACCATTGTGAAGGGAGGACTGAACAAAAAGGAGTAAGCAGCAGGATGGTAAATGGTGATTCAGGAACTAAAAATCCAGAGGATTGAAAAGAGACTGTTGTTATAAACTAGGGAAGTTGGATGTGAGCCAAGTTTGAAGAAGTTTTTTGTATGGGATTCTGGCAGTAAGAGAGATGCAAATCAAAACCACAATGAGATACCATCTCACCCCAAGAGCAGTGGCAAAGTTTGACCAGACAGTAAGAAAGAAATGTTGGAGAGGATATGGTGAGATAGGAACTCTTAAGACACTGTTGATGGGATTGTAAAATGGTACAACCATTATGGAAGGCAGTTTGATGTTCCCTCAAAAATTTGAACATAAAAATTCCATATGACCCAGCTATTCTACTGCTTATATTCCACTGGAATATACCCCGATAGAATGAGAACTGAGGCACAAACAGAGATTTACACTGTATTGCATGGCTGTGTGATTTACCATCACAAGAACATAGAAACAACCCATAAAGGTCCAACCACAATTGAATGAATTGAGAAATCACAGTACATTCACACAGTGGAATAGTATGTAGCACACAGGAACAATGATTTTGTAAATTATTACTTAACTTGGGAAGGACTGGAGAGCAGTATGCTGAGTGAACTATCTCAGTCCAACAAGGACAAATACTGCATAGTACCTTTATTATAAAATTAGAAAACTAGTAAAACGTGTATGAGGACCCAAGGAGGGGAGAAGAGGAGCATAGGGGTGAGGATGGGCTGGGGAGGGGGCAATCATAGGGTTGCACAATTTGATGGATAGAGGAAGTAAAGAAAATGGAAAAGATCAGGTGAAAATGTATACAAACTTTGTAAATAAATCAGTATAAAAGAAAAATATTATTAAAAGATTGTACATGATTGGAAGTGCCTCACACAGAATGGATGCTCTGTGTAAATGAGCTGTTGTCCCAGTGACTGTTACACCCTCCTCTCTGCCCAACTGCTCCACTGGCAAGCCAGAGAACAAGGAGGCATAGGATGCAGGAAGCCCTGATCTGGAAGATGTGGTTTCCACTTTCAACTCTACCAGCTACCTATGAGGCCATGGGCAAGACCTTTCCTTGCCTTGATTTCCCCATTTATAAAATGACAGCCTTGAACTAGATCAAATGTGCTCAAACTCAGTGGCTTGATTATGTCGCTCTCGGTAGGGAGTGAAAGGAGTGGGATTATTGTTAGCAAAGGGTAGCTGTGCACAGCCCTTCCCTGCAGCAGACGGCAAAGGTCTAGATGTACTCTGAATGTGTGTCAAGACAGCAGATGAGTTGTAGTCTGAAAGGAAAAATGCTCAGAGCCATTGTGTTAGGGGGCTTCTTCTAGGGCCCTCTCTGGCTCCAGCATTCGATGAGAGATGGATGGATAATGAATATGTGGAGTCCAAACTAGTAGTACAGGCCAGGAGAGGACGGGGGCAGGGGTTGCTTCCTCCTCTTCCCATCAATTCTGGAAGACTTCCTGGTGGGTTGAGGTATTGAGGGAAGAAAATGATCCACATATGGCCAGATTGGGCACCCTCTACCAGGCCAGATCCTGACAGTGGCAAACTCTTATGTTGGGGCTGGTGCAAATTCTAGTGCTTTGCGTGAGTCTAGCTTTCCCCAGCAGAATGACTTTTGGTGATGCTGGGCGTAGGTCCAGACCTAAACTCCACTTTTCTCCTGTCCCCAGGTCTTGTGGGACTGAGTCAGGGACAGTTCTGCCTCACAACGCAAACAAACTATGACACAATAAAGAACTTTCTTTATTCTGCAGTCAGAACGGAGGCCTCCCTACATGCCTTCTTTATTCTTCGCTGGTTAAAAAATGAATCCTGGGAAATGGAGAAGGAAGAAACCAAGAGATTGTCCAGATAATTGTAAACACAAGAGAACTAGCTTCTGGCACAGTGTGAAGGTGGGGCAATGGCCTGCTCTCAGGAGGTTTAACTTCTTTTCTTTGCTGGCCCTGGGCAAGTCACTTTCATTCTCCAAGATCTCAGTCTACTGACTAGTGGCCAAGGACACAATCAGCTGCCTGCCTCCCAAAAAGGTGTGACACATATTGACAGATCAAAACAGGCCTGAAAGCTTCTTTGAAAGACAACTCCACTGTTACTCTGTCTAGAGATAATGATGACCCTAGATCACAAGGCCTTGATACTCCTACATCTTTGTGAAATGGCTTAGAGGCTTCCCTCTCAGCATGATTATGAAGAAGACACATTGGGTGGGTTGGCTCAGGAGGAGGAGTGACTGGTAAAGCTGGCATGTTTTCTCTTGAGACCAGTGGGGCCACCTTTTTGGGATAGGATTAGCTTACCACAGCTCAGTCCTTCTTGAGGCCCCTCCTTCCCCTGATGCACAATGTCTGAGGAGATGGGGAGGAGAGGGAGAGAGGTATCTCAGTCCACTCACAGATGGGCAAGAGGGGCATTCTGATGGCTTGAAAGGGGAAGGGTGACATTCGGGCAGGACCCCTTGGTCCAGCTTACTGGTGTGGGATCTTTGACCTTCCTGTCTCAGGGATGAAAGGCAATGCTATACAAGGATTGCTGAGCTGGGGGCCTGGCAGAACCACTGATTATGTGACCACTCCTTTCCCTTCTCTTTAGCTCATTTTCCCTAATTGTGAGGTGGAGTCAGATTCAATACTTCATAAGGGTCCTTCTGCTCTGGCTGTCAGCCTGTGGTTCCATGATCCTCTCTGGCTGGTTTAGTCACCTAGAAACCAGCGGTTACTAGGGTCTGATACACGTCAGCAGTTGTTACTCTCCAGCTTCTGCAGTGTCCTTTTGTAGAAAACAAGGACAGGGGCCTGAGCAGCCCTCAGCTGGACTGGGGAGGGGACAGATACACCAAGGAACGGAGGGTTCTCTCTGTTCCTCAGCTCCTCCCTTTGACTGGGGGAGGCCCCTATCCCTCCAGATCTGAGTCATGCATCTCTTCTCATTGCCTCCCCCATCCCATTCCTTTGCCCTGGGGTTAAGGGTAGGAAAGTGATTAGGTTCTAGGACCCAGGGATACAATATCCCAACTCTCTAAGGGCCATAGAGGAAAGATGGGCTTGCCAATGTTGAATTAACCAGCAAGTCCTGGCTGATTGCATTTGATGTGACCAATCCTTACTCTTCGGCTAAAATTTTTATAGACCATATCTATCCTGTTTTCTCTAAATCCAACTATCTCACCCCAAGTCCTGTGAGAAACACAGTTATGAGCTAGCTTATGACCTACATTCTTATCTCCAGCTCTCTTGAGGCAGGACCTAAGTCCTCCATCTCTGCTTCTCTCCAAATGGAGGAGACAAGACTGACTGCTAGTGCTGAGCTGCCTGTGGTCCACCTCAACCTCTACCCAACACCCTTGTCTTAAAATTCAGCCCCATCCTTGCTCTGGGGAGGAGGCAATCCATCTGCCCCCTGAGTTGAGAACTATGGATGAGGCTGGATGAAACACAGGAAGCTTGGAGAAAGCAGCTTCCTGGCCACCGAGTCTGCTCCAAGGAGGGGCAGGCAGAATGGGATTTAGGCTGAAGATGGAAAGGGGGTTAGAAACAGAAAGAATCCTAAAATTTATTTTTTGAGCAGTAGATATCATTTTGGTAATAGAAGCATGGGCTCAAAATTTTAAAGACCCAGAGGATTCTAGAAATCCAGAAACTCAAAGCTTGAGGAGCTTGTGTGTGTGTGTGTGTGTGTGTGTGTGTGTGTGTGTGTGTGTGTGTTAGGAGGATGAGAACAAAGTCCCTCTTTCTGGATATATTTCTCTCTCCCTCACCCACCACACTTCTGCCTATCCACCGTGGGAAAGATGAAAGGGCTACAGTCCCACCCCAGAACTGCTGTCCAAGTAGATAAGCCTGCTGGGTTATCCCCTCTCCTAGCAGCATCCCCACTCCAGCTAAGGGAGAGAGAAGCTTGAGAGAATTCTGCCTCTTTCCATGCTGGCAGTGTCCCAATTGCCACGTTTGCTGAGGTGAGTGTGAGTAGTGTGTAGGTTGTGGGTAGTGAGGCTTTAAGAAACCCTCGGAAGCCGTTCTTTTCCCTCCCGTAGCTGGAGAAACTGAGGCCCAGAAAGGGGGAGGGACCTAGCCAAGGTGCTCAGGGTTCTGCACTGCTGGCACAGAGCTCTATCACAGACCATTGTCTCTTTTACCAATGCCCTGGAATCCAAGTGGACATTTGCACCTGCATTTATTGTCCCTGCACTAAAAGAACACTGTTGCAATTCTACCTTGTTACCTCCTTCTGGTCTTTGGTCTAGCCTAGTTGATCCCCCAGGAATCTGCGCAGTCAACCCAGATCCCAAGCGTCCACGCCCCTTCAGGCCCCTAGGGAGAAGCGCATCCCACATACGTACAATGGGTATAGCAAGGTGTCCTCTCGAAAGCCCTGGGGGAGAAAGCGCGAACTCCATAGCCCTTTCTCTCTCCCCGCCCTACCCACCCGGAGCACACAAGTCTCCAACAGACGAAACTCCTAAGAAACACAGTCCTGGGGGGTCGGGGGAGATAAGCAGAGTTGAGGGTGTCATCTTTAGGAAGGGAACCCGGGAAGGGAGGGAGCCTCCAGAGATGGATACTCAGGACACCTGTTCTCCCAGTGCCCCATTTACTAACCTTCGATTTCTCCTGTCCCCGACTCGGCGGGACGAAGCCAGCCAGGAGCAGGGAGAGGAGCCACGAGGCCCGGAGCAGCCGGGCCATGGCGGGCTGGGGTCCGTCTCCAGCTCTGGCCAAAGACAGCTGTCTGATCCTTGGACTACGGTCGGTCTGAAGTCGCCACTGCTCTCAGCCCCCTTTCAAGTCTGCAGTGGTAACCAATCCGCGGCCAGGAGTCCTTGTAACCAATCGCAGGGCTACTGGGATTTCAGGGGCGGGCATAATTCACCCTCTGTTTCTCCCCTCCTCAGGCCCAGGGCGACAGGGACTTAAGCAATTATGAGCAGAGAGAAGAAACTCAGGTTCTTGCGAATATGTGACAGTGCACTTTTTGCTTTCGATTTTAGAGGGTGTGGGGGCAACAAGCCCAAGGAGTTAGCACTAAATAATTGTTGGAGGGTTCCATCTTAAGAAGCATATCTTGTCCCTGGGGTTTATAAAAGTCCCATTCGTATCCCTCAGCCCTACCCTACCCCTGTTCCAGTTGAAGGGAATGAGGATTTTAAAAACTTCAGCAAGATCTGAAAGTTAGACCAACAGGCATACTTACTATATGTAAGTTTCCTCCTTAAAAAGCAAAATGTGGTTGTCTTAAGATTGAACATGCAACCTTCTCTTGGGAAAAGCGTAGGGACACCTTGGCTGGTCTGGGAGCAGAAAATCCATTTTATCAGTCATTAGCTCCCTCTGTCATCTTGGACTGTTGCTTTCCTTGTCTGGGCCTCAGTTTCCCCAACTGTGTAACAACGGATTGGACTAGTGATCTCTAAGGTCCTTCTGATTCTGGTTTGGTGATTTGCTTCTAAAATAAGAACAAGGAAGCTCTGGTGGCCTAGTGGCAAGAAGCTGTGCTGTAATCCTGAAGGTATGTGGTTTGAATCCATTAGATGCTCTGCTGGAGAAGGAGGGACAATCTCTTCTTGTGTCAGTTGGATCTGATTCAACAGTACACAACAGGAAAAAGATTTAAAAAAAAAAAGATAAAATAAGAACATATAGATCAAGAGTCCCTTGAGAATCCTGCACAGGGCCTACCATAAAACAGGTGCTTAATAGTTGCTGAGTTAATTAGTCAATGAATTAATTTCTCTGCTCAAAGAGACTTAGGATCAGATCAGACAACTGTAAGCCTGGCTCTCTGTGCATGTTTCTGTTCTTAGGTATTAGAATGCATTGTAATCAGAGGTCTCCAAATCTGTCTGATGACCAGAATCTCCTGGGAACATTTAATACATATTCCTGGGCTGGACTTAAGGATCATTGTGTCAGAATCTCTCGGGGCAGAGCCTGAGAATCTGCCTTCAGACAGGTTCCACAGGTTATTTCGAACAGCTGGCCTGGGTATAGTCCTGGCCAGGGAAGATTCAGGCCCAAGTGTCCTCTAGACATTTCTTCCCAACCAGAAGTGCCTTGGAGACTATTCCTTAGGTATCATTTGAAATATTAAGGTCCTCATGGAAGTTTGGAAAGCTGAGCCTAATTTTTATATCCTCCATAAAAATCTCACCTCCACAGCCTGTTAGAAGTGAAAGGAATCTTGGGGGCCAGAAAAACATCTAAATAAATTAAAATGCAAATGTCTTTGAACAAAGTCTTCAAAGAGTATTGAACACCAGTTGTTGTCATTGTTGTTGTTGTGTACCACTGAGTCAGAGCTGATCCATAGCTAACTCTCCTGCTCCCAAAGCTGCTTGTGGCCTTGAACCATGTGCCTTCAGGATTGCAGCGTAGCTTCTTGCCACTAGGCCACCAGAGCTCCCTAGAGTAAGAGCGTGTGCTCAATACATGTTATCTAGTCCAGTCAATCACTTCATGTCACTGAAGCCAAGGAGAAAATGGCAGATCAGTGACATCACGTTTTTAAACTCCAGTCCAAGGACCTTTCCACCTGGTTCTACTGTCTTCAGACTATCATACATACCCAAAGATTTTTTTAAAACAACTACATAAACCTTAGTTTGTCAGAAACCTGTTGTTTATCAGCATAAAAGGCATCTCAGGAAATTCAAACTCATTGCCTTTGAGAGAGAACTGGCTGACAGCTGACCCTAAAGCAGGCTTCCAGATGCTGTAAGGAGGAGGAGATGATGGCTCATCTTTCTCCCAAGTAGCGCTGATGAGTTTGAACTGCTTGCTCTTGGGTTGGAAGTGCAACTCTTTACCCACTAGGCTACCAGAGCTCCTAGGGACTCAAAATATACACCTAACATCATGTTAACACCATAAGAGATGTCAAAGAGTGATCTAGAATCTACAGCCTCTGTGCACAAGAGTGTATCTAACACTTGGCTGTGTAGCACCTGGGGTCATGCAACTGCATGGCTGGCATCTGAGAGAGGGCACCTCCTTATATTTTGTGCCTTATGTGCTTAGTCCCTGGTCCAGTCCTGGCGTTTAGGTTCTTTTAGAGAGGTGAGGAAGACTCAGAAGCCTGAGGTGCTACTCTCGGCTCTGGCAGTGACTTGCTATGACAGACAAGTTACTTCTTTTCTGAGCCTCAGTTGATCCATTTGTATGACAAGCCTCTCTTCCATTTTCTTAGTAGTCGTTCCTTTGGTTCTGTAGTTCCAAAGGTATCGGTTTCAGGAAGGACTGTGCTGTAGAAAGTTCAAACTTGAGTGCATGGACAGTGGACTGGGGAGACTGGAGGAGCATTACCTGGCTCTGGGGCTGCTGCAGTCTGGTGTCAAAGGAGATCTGAGCACTGGCTCTAAGAACATAAAGAAGAGAAGGAAAAGAGCACCTCCCCGTCTCTTCACCGCCTGCTTTTCTGGCCTTTTCAGTGGTTTTATTCTCAGGGACCCTGTGCTTTAGAAGCTGTTGTTCTCCACTAAGCTGCCTCCTCTTGCCCTTTGGATAAAGTCCAAAATTCCTTAGCGCTTCAGCCAATACCCTCAAATTCCAGCCTCTTCTTCACCTTTGGTCACACGTCTTGTTTTCTCTCCACCAGCTGTGTGGGTCTTTACCTCTGTTTTCCACGTGCTGCCCTCTCTCACCTTGAGGGTTTACCTCCAGTCTTCCGTTAAGCCTGGAGCACTCCTCATCCTGCCCCTGTAGATGTTTCTCCTTTACTTATTTTTCATTTCTCACCTTAAGCACCACCCTTTCATGACAGAGTTGAACTTAGGTTCCCTTGCCTTATTACAGTTCCCGGTGTAAGAGAGGAAGACCCTCAGTCAGGTAGATTTGACACAGGAACTGCAGCGATGGGCTCAAGAGTGTCAGAGATTATGAGGATGGCACAGGATAGGACAGATTTTAGATCTGTCACTCATAGGGTCCCTGTGAGTCATACGTGACTCGACAGTACTTAACAGCACCAGAGTATTTGACATACATCCTGTATTTAATACATCCAGTATTAAACCTTACTAAGTCCATTGCCATTAAGGTCATTGTGACTCATAGCAACCCTATGTTGTTCTATGACATCGAGTCAGCTGCAACATATAGTGAGTGACCCTATGACAACAACCCTTTTCCCTGCCAGATCCTGAACCAGTCCCACTGACTCCGACACACCTGCCCCCATTACCCCAGTTATAGTGTCAATCTATCTCACCCGGCGTCTTCCTTTTCTGTGCTGTCCCTCTACCCTTCCAAGCATGAGGTTCTTCTCCAAGGACTGGTCCCTCCTGGCCATGTGCCCAAAGTATATGAGGCAAAGCCTCAAAATCCTAGGCTCTAAGGAGCAGTTTGGTTTCTCCATCTCCAGAACAGACCTGCTTGTTCTCTTGACACTCCATGGTATGTTCAATACTTTACTCCACTCCATGATTCAAAGGCATGGATTCTTCTTCTATCATCCCTAGTTATTGTCTAGCTCTCAGATGTATAGCAAATAACTGCAAAGACCATGGGATGAATCAGGTGCAACTTAGTCTCCAGAATGACCTTTGGAGAGGTCCCTGACAGTTTTTCTAATGCAATTTGTCTTTTGATTTTCTGACTGCTGGTGCCTAGAGTGTTGATTGTGGAGCCAAGTAAGTTGAAATGGTTAACAACTTCAGTCTCTTCTCCATCTCCCATGGCGCTGCCAATTGGCCCAGTGGTGAGAATCTTTGTCTTCTTGATATTGAGCTTCAGTCCATATTGTAGACTACAGTCCTTGACCTTCTGCAGGAAATGCTTCAGGCTCTTCTTTCAGCAGGCTAGGTTGTGTCAGCTGCATAGCATAGGTTAGGTTGTTGATGAGTCTTCCTCCAATCCTGATGCCAACCTGATTCTTCCTCATAAAGTCTAGGCTCCTTCCTGAATGATCTGTTGCACATATCGATTGAAAAGGACACACCCCTGACACACTTCTTTCCTGATTTTTAACCATGCAGTATTTCTTCCTTGCTCTCTTCTGACAACTGCTTCTATGGGCAAGAGTAAAATTGCCACATAAAGTTTCCAAGAAGGTAGTCTTGGAACCAGCAAACTACCATGTCTTTCCTTCACAGATGTGCTGGTGAGTTTGAACTATCAACCTTTTAGTTAGCTGCCAAATATTTAATCACTGTACCAGTAGGGCTCCTCATTAAAATTTAGTTGTTCCTTTTTGTAATATTTCTTTTTTTATTATTAATTTTAATGAAAGTGTACGGAGACTTAGGATTTCCAGTCATTCATTGTTGCACTTTTCTCCCTGTCCACCCCCTCCCCACCAATTCACTTTTCTCCTTAATAAGTAAAAGAAAACTCTTTCATTGTTATGCAGTCCCTCCTCCCAAGTCCACTGCACTGTATAGCCTTCATTCTGGACTCCATCATGACAATAATACCTAATCATATATCCCTTTTAAACAGTTCTTTCCCTCATCTGTTGCAACACAGTATACATCATTCCTCCCCTTCTTCTCTGTCTTCCCTCAACCCCAATGTCAGTCCTGTTTTACAACAGTGGCACTATGCAATATTCGTCCTTTAGTTGTACTTTTTTATCATTTCTTGATTGTCTGCTTTCCATAAAAGCTTGTATATCTTTCACAAAAGCACCTAGCACAAGGCTTAATACATGGCAAATGCTCAACCAATGCTAGTCAAATAAAGGAACTCCAAGT